GGTAGAGTTCTATAGATGTCTATTAGGTCCATCTGTTGTAGTGTGTTGTTCAGTGCCTCTGTGTCCTTACTTATTTTCTGTCTGGTGGATCTGTCCTTTGGAGTGAATGGTGTGTTGAAGTCTCCTAAAATGAATGCACTGCATTCTAATTCCTTCTTTAATAATGTTAGTATTTCATTCACATATGTTGGTGCACCTGTATTGGGTGCATATATATTTATAATGGTTATATCCTCTTGTTGGACTGACCCATTTATCATTATGCAATGTCCTTCTTTATCTCTTGTTACATTCTTTGTTTTGAAGTCTATTTTGTCTGATACTAGTACTGCGACACCTGCTTTTTTCTCCCTGTTGTTTGCATGAAATATCTTTTCTATCCCTTGACTTTTAGTCTGTGCATGTCTTTGAGTTTAAGGTGAATCTCTTGTAAGCAGCATATAGATAGGTATTGTTTTTTTATCCATTCTATTACTCTGTGTCTTTTGATTGGTGCATTCAGTCCATTTACATTTAGGGTGATTATTGAAATATATGTACTTATTGCCATTGCAGGCTTTAGATTCATGGTTACCAAAGGTTTAAGGATAGCTTCTTTGCTATTGAATTGTCTAACTTAACTCGCTTATTGAGCTGTTATAAACACTGTCTGGTAATTCTTTATTTCTCTCCCTTCTTATTACTCCTCCTCCATTCTTTATACGTTGGGTGTTTTATTCTGTGCTCTTTTATGTTTCCTTTAACAGCTTTTGTGGGTAGTTGATTTTATTCTTTGCCTTTCATTAGTATTTGGTTGGCCTGCTTTCTTTGCTGAGATTTTATTTTCTCTGGTGACTTCTATTTTGCCTTAGGAGTGCTTCCATCTAGTGCAGTCCCTCTAAGATACCCTGTAGAGGTGGTTTGTGGGAGGCAAATTCCCTTAACTTTTGTTTTTCTGGGAATTGTTTAATCCCTCCTTCTATTTAAATGATAATCATGCTTGATACTGTATCCTTGGTTCAAGGCTCTTCTGTTTCACTGCATTAAGTATATCATGCCATTCTCTTCTGGCCTGTACATTTTCTGTTGAGAGGTCTGATGATAGCCTGATGGGTTTTCCTTTGTATGTGACCTTTTTTCTCTCTCTGGCTGCCTTTAATGCTCTGTCCTTGTCCTTGATCTTTGCCATTTTAATTATTATGTGTCTTGGTGTTGTCCTCCTTGGGTCCCTTGTGTTGGGAGTTCTGTGTGATTCCATGGTCTGAGAGACTATTTCTTCCCCCAGTTTGGGGAAGTTTTCAGCAATTATTTCTTCAAGGACACTTTCTATCCCTTTTTCTCTCTTTTCTTCTTCTGGTACCCCTATAATGTGAATATTGTTCCATTTGGATTGGTCACACAGTTCTCTTAATATTCTTTCATTCCTGGAGATCCTTTTATCTCTGTCTGCCTCAGCTTCTCTGTGTTCCTGTTCTCTGATTTCTATTCCATTAATGGTCTCTTGCACCTCGTCCATTCCACTTTTAAGTCCTTCCAGAGATTGATTTATTTCTTTATTCTCCCTCCCAACTTTATCTGTTAGTTCTTGCATTTTTCTCTGCAGCTCCATCAGCATGGTTATGACCTTTACTTTGAATTCTTTTTCAGGAAGATTGATTAAATCTATCTCTCCAGGCTCCTCCTTGGGATTTCTCTGTGTTATTTTTTTTTATTTTGGTATCATTAATCTACAATTACAGAAAGAACATTATGTTTACTAGGTTCCCCTCTTCACCAAGTTCCCCCCACATACCCCTTCAGAGTCACTGTCCATCTGTGTAGTAAGATGCTGTAAAATCACTACTTGTCTTCTCTGTGTTGCGCAGCCCTCCCCGTGGCCCCCATGCACTATACATGCTAATCATAATGCCCTCTTTCTTTTTCCCGGCTCCCTTATCCCTCCCTTCCCACCCATCATCACCAGTCCCTTTCCCTTTGGTAACTATTAGTGCATTCTTGGGTTCTGTGATTCTGCTGCTGTTTTGTTCCTTCAGTTTTCCTTTGCTCTTATACTCCACATCTGAGTGAAATCATTTGGTACTTGTCCTTCTCCACTTGTCTTATTTCACTGAGCATAATACCCTCTAGCTCTATCCATGTTGTTGCGAATGATAGGATCTGTTTATTTCTTATGGCTACGTAATATTCCATTGTGTATATGTACCACATCTTCTTTATTCATCTACTGATGGACATTTAGGTTGCTTCCATATCTTGGCTATTGTAAACAGTGCAGCGATAAACATAGGGGTGCATCTGTCTTTTTTCAAACTGGAGTGCTGCATTCTTGGGGTAAATTCCTAGAAGTGGAATTACTGGGTCAAATGGTATTTCTATTTTGAGCATTCTGAGGAAGCTCCATACTGCTTTCCACAATGGTTGAACTAGTTTACATTCCCACCAGCAGTATAGGAGGGCTTCCCTTTCTCCACAACCTCGCCAACATTTGTTGTTTGTCTTTTCGATGATGGCGATCCTTACTGGTGTGAGGTGATATCTCATTGCGGTTTTAATTTGCATTTCTCTGATGACAAGCGATGTGGAGCATCTTTTCATGTGCCTGTTGGCCATCTGGATTTCTTCTTTAGAGAATTGTCTATTCAGCTCCTCTTCCCATTTTTTAATTGGATTATTTGCTTTTTGTTTGTTGAGGCATTTGAGCTCTTTATATATTTTGGATGTCAATCCTTTATCAGATCTGTCATTTATGAATATGTTCTCCCATACTGTAGGATACCTTTTTGTTCTATTGATGGTGTCCTTTGCTTTACAGAAGCTTTTTAGCTTGATATAGTCCCACTTGTTCATTTTTGCCTTTGTTTCTCTTACCCGGGGAGATATGTTCATGAAGAAGTCACTCATGTTTATGTCCATGAGGTTTTTGCCTATGTTTGTCTGTGTTATTTTTGTCTGAATCAAATTGTCTGCCTTTTCATGGCAATAGATGTAGTCATGGGCATTTGGTGCATGTGTCAGCTAGGAGAACAAAGTACCTTCTTGCTTGGTGATTTCCTTCCTTTCCTGCAAAAACGGCGACCCGTAGCGGCTTGTCCTGGGCAGCTGCATGCTGATGTGGCCTCTGAGTATGATCCGTGCAGCTGCGGAGGAGGCTCTGTGTGGCTACTCTGGTCGTGGTTTCTTGGGCTGCTCCCCTGCTGTGGCAGGGCCATGCCACAGGTAGAATGAAGTGGGAGGCTGCTTATCACCATGAGGGGCTTCAGAGCCATGCTGTCGCTCAGGGGGTTAGGGCACCCAGAGTTCCCTGGGATTCCCAGCTGCTGAGCTGAGTGTGCTTGGATGCTTCCATCCAGCTGTGAGGCCCATGTCCCTTTAAGAGTTTCAAAAGGCACTCACTTTTCTTTTATACCAGGGCGCCAGCTGCGGGGACCCGCTCAGTTTTTACTGTTCCGTTTCCCTAATATCCAGCACACCGTGCACTGTGTCTGCGCTCCCAGTGCGGATGACTAGAGCTGGGTATTTAATAGTCCAGGGCTCCCTCTTCCTCCCCACTCTGACTCCTCTTCTCCTGCTGGGGAGCTGGGGTGGAGGGGGGGTGCTTGGGTCCCACCAGGCCATAGCTTGTATCTTATCCCCTTTGTGAGGTACTGAGTTATTACAGATGTAGATGTAGCCTGGCTCTTGTGCTGTATCTTCTGGTCTGTCTTTTAGGAATCATTGTATTTGTTGCATTTTCAGAAATATATATGGTTTTGGGAGGAGATTTCTGCTGCCCTACTCACGCCGCCATCTTGGCTCCAACCTACTCTAGTCATTTTTAAGTATCTCATATAAACACACTTGAAAAAATGTCAGAAACAAATTAAAATCATGATATTTTGCACTTTGCAACATGTCATTTTAAAATAATTTAAGCATACATGGCCAGCATTTTTAAGGAGACATTTTCAGTGGATGATACAGAGGGTTATTAGTTGAAATTATATCCAAGATCTGGTTCTAAAATTGCCAAAGCACATAAAACTCAAAGTTTAGAATGTTCTCTTTCACTAGCAATATCTGGCTTGTAATAGTGTCTCTATTTTCTTCATTTATGACAATAGTGAAGAATGTTAAATCTAATTAGCCTTTTCAGACACAAGAAATGGGTTGTAATTGATAATCTCTTTTGAGGGAATGTGGAAGTACTATTTCAAGCTTCCCCTTTCTCCTATATACCCTATACCTAGGGTTGAAAATCAGCTGCTATGTGTCAGAATGACAGCAAATTATATTAAAATTCTATTAAAATGAATTTTTAAAAAATAAAACAAAATTTCATTCACAAAAATAATAATGTTTCCTTTGACAAAATTAGACTTTTGATTTTATTTTTAGTATAATTTTTCTTACAATATTCTCTGATAACCTAGTATGTTTCACCTTTTACCTTCATTTCACTTTCAGACAAAAAAGATAAGAAGGAATATATTCTTTCAGAAGTGTTTGATGGTGCATCAATTTTCCCAAGGAGCTCTCCTAATCCTATGAAGTGGAAACACATTTTTTGCAGGAACTATTGTATCATATCTTTGTAGAGTTCTCTCTCTGAGTCAGCCAGAACCTCATTTGTCCTCATTTGTCAATAGTTTCACAATAAGATTCTGTTTTTTCCCAACATAACTTTCATGATTTTTGTATCTTTTGCAAGATTTTTCAACTTCACTGTGCAGCCAATTTGCATTATATTTTCATTATGTTATCAGATGTTTTCAATGTCCTACACTTAGAAAGAGACTTGTTAATGAAGCACTTAACTATTATATCAAAATGTTGTTAACCAAGACTATCTTATATATGGAAGCCTATATAAGGTAAAATCCATTTAGATAGTCTCCAAGTTGGTTTTTTAACTGAAATACCAAAAATATATCATAAAATCACTTTTAGTGTCAAAGGATAAAATTTGAAATTTCAGTACATTTAATTTTATTCAATGACTAAAATTTTAATTTGTAACAAAAGTTTATTCAATGCTTACAAACAATAGAATTATAGGTATAAGAGGTTTTTCTAGGCAAAAGACACTGAAGATCTAATATCTAAACAAAGAATGGATATCTCCCTTAAGAAAAAATTCGGTTTTCAAAATGTGGTTAAAATTCTATTTCTAAGAACAAAACTGCATATGTTTATGTTTTCAGTCCATCTGTTTTTTAATAAAATATATCACAAATGTATTCTTACAAGTTACATATATCTATGCAGTCATTAAATAATAGCTTTATGAGAATGCATACAAATACCTGTTTCACAAATGAAAAAAATGGAGAAAGCAGTAAAAGGAATTTGTTGACAATTGGCATTTTGTGTAAGCCCAGCTCAAATGGTTTAATCCTGCAGTTGAGAAAAACTCACAGACAGCCACAGGGCAGACAGTACCAGAGAAAAAGGCAAATGCTTTACAGCTAAATCAAGTATCTCAGGCAAATCATAGCAATACTAGCAAAATCAGATTAGCAATTACTGTTCAATGTGGAAAGCTGCTAACGGAGCAAAATTTAGAGCTCTTATTTATTACATTAAGTCTTTGTGCCTCATCAAGCTTATTTCAGCTCTAAATTTCCATAAATAAGATTGATTGTTATTTTTCAAGTTAAAAAAAAATCCATTCTCCTTCCTTTAAGTTTTTAGCTTTAGCTATTGAAGGGATCTGGGCATTACTCACACGAGCTTTAAGAGGGAGTTTAGTTTGGTTATCATGTTTTAGAATGGAGTAAACAGAGGTTAATCACAATCTAAAGTCACAGATCTATGCAAGCAATTATTTTGAAACAGTTCTGTCCTCCTCATAACCCTAGTGAAATAGTTAATTGTATGTGTCAACATGACTGGGCCACAGGGTGCCCAGATATTTGGTCAAGCATTATTCTGGGTGTTTCTGAGAGGGTATTTAGGATGAGAGTAACATATAAATTGTGGAAATTTGAGTAAAGCATAGTGTCCTCCATAATATAGGTGGGGCTCATCCAAATATTTGAAGGCCTTATTCAAACAAAAAGACCAGTTTTCACAGAGCAGGAAAGAATTCTTCAGGAAACTGATTTCAGACTTCATCTGCAACATTGGCTGTTTCTGGATCTACAGGAGATTGCCTTCAGACTGGAACTGGAACATTGCTCTCCTAGGTCTCTGACCTGCCAGCTTTCAGTACATTTGGGTCTGTAGCCTGTTGACACACCCTTTAGATTTTGGACTTGCCAGCTTCCATAATCATGCGAGCCAATTTCCTGATGAACACACATGTCTCTACCAAGTAGAATAGAAAGGAACACAGATGAGGCAGTCATGGAGTGTTGATTCCTGCATGGGAACTAGCTCAGTGACCAGATGACACTAAGAGCCCACCCAAGTCAGAACTATTTTTTTTCTCTCTTGATTTTGACAATTCCATTTTTGAATCATAGTTATCTGAGTCCACTAAGCTTGATAATTACTGTCCCTTGCAATGTCTCTTCTCATACTTTCAACAATTGTAAATGGCTCTGTTTCTGTCTTCAAGTATCTAAAGTGTAGCTAGTTGTTTTATTACTTGGGTTTGTAAGACATGCTATTCATCTTTATAATATCAGTGTTTCTTCTCTTTCTCCTTTCTACTCTTCTGATGCTTTCTGTCATGTACCTCTGTTAAACTTTTCCTACGAGTTCTGTGCATTAAGAAGTGCTATGCTATGATCTATTGCTCCTTTAGCTGTATCCTTTTGTCATGAAGTTTAAAATTCTTATTCTCATTTCGTACTTATCTCTGTAGACCTTGGAAACCCCAGTGGGTGGATCAGATAGGCTTCTAGCAGGAAAACAAAGTAAAAATGCCACAGAAAACAAACCCTCCCTCTCCAATTTTTCTTGTGGCTTCACTTTAAAATACCCAGCTTAAAATTCTCAATAGTATTGCTGTGTCAGTACTTTCTCCTTCACTTCTTTGTCACTTTGTGTGGGCTACTTCTGCATAATATCAGGTCAAAAATTAGGGTATACCATTATTTTTTTCACACTGGTAAATTTTTACCCTTCCCTGGGCCTCAGTTTCTCCATCTACAAAGTAGGAGGGTTGGCCTAAATGTTCTCTAAAGAACCTTTCAAGTCTGACATTCTTTGAATATGATTTTCACTATTCAGATATGCACACACAAGCATATATATATATATTATTCAGAAAATTAATTTTGTATTAGATGTTACAGGTTTTCATCCAAATGATTGTCATTGTTTAGATTTATCCAGATTTCATGAAGGTAGATGCCTGATTGTATGTTAAAAGTAAACACCACAAAGGAGAGAGAACTGAAAAACTGTAAAATAAAATGTCCTAGCTCTCAGTTTAAAATTGTTTGCACATCCCTGAGTTGATAAATTTGAGAAATCTCTATATGACTAAATATGAACAGTTGCCATATTTCACAGGAGCAAAATGATCTATTTTCCTCCATAATGTTTAAAGGAGGACATTTTCTAAGTATAATCTGAAATGCCAACTATGGTTCTAATATGCTACAGGTCATAAGAATTTAACTTAATATATGGAATGATTTTGCACATGTCACAGTCACAATGATTTTTACACTCAGAAAACATTTATTTCCTATAGGCGTTCTACCCATGCTTGCACATATTCATGATAAACATATATTACTCAAAGAAGCATGACTGATTTTGTGTTTAAGCTCATATATTTCATATGGACTAGGAATACAATAAAGCTTACTTTAAATAATTTTTAATTTTTGATACATTTTGAAGACATATGAAAACAACATACTTTATGTTCATAACTCAGTCCAATCATAAACATCAGTTGCAGCAACTTTCCTGTATTTTCTTCTTTAAATCCTCAGATGAAGAGCATAGCATCTGACACAAAATCTTCTGGCAGTTTGCTCCAACCAATAAAGATTAATGATAAACTATGAAAATGCATTTTATGGCAGTGAATAAGTGAAGCTTTGAAAAAAACTAGAATAATTTTCTCCCCCAAATTACTCTTTTGTACTGTGACCTTGAAATTCTAATCATTAAGGATTCTTCCCACAGAAACACTACATTTTGAAGGCACACAGCTTAACTGTGGGCTAAACATATCTATCTTGTTAATGGAATCTTTTATTATATAAATCAAGGGGTGGTGCAAATTCTATGAGAATCAAAAATCTACCCACTAGGTTTTTAAACAAACATCTTAAATACAAAAGTCCTACTGTTGCAACAACATGGATGAAGCTAGAGGGTATTATGCTCAGTGAAATAAGCCAGGTGGAGAAAGACAAGTACCAAATGATTTTACTCATATGTGGAATATAAGAACAAAGGAAAAACTGAAGGAACGAAACAGCAGCAGAATCACAGAACCCAAGAATGGACTAACAGTTACCAAAGTGAAAGGGACTGGGGAGGATGGGTGGGAAGGGAGGCATAAGGGGGGGGAGAAAAAAGGGGGCATTATTATTAGCATATATAATGTAGGGGGGGCACGGGGAGGACTGTGCAACACAGAGAAGACAAGTAGTGATTTTCCAGCATCTCATTACGCTGATGGACAGTGACTAATGGGGTATGTGGGGGGGACTTAGTGAAGGGAGGATTCTAGTAAACATAATGTTCCTCATGTAATTGTAGATTAACGATACCAAAAAAAAAAGTCCTACTGTATTTATAAGATCTCAGAATAAAATAGCATGTGTGCCCTGGCTAAGTTGAGAAGAGAAACTGAAGAGAAACTATTTTTTACTGCATGCAAAATCATGGCCAAATTATAAAATTGCATTTCAGTACCTATGATTATATATTCATATACCCATCTACCCTACTGGTAAGCCTTTGGGTAAAATTTTAGGGATATACAATTCCAGATTTTTTCCAGGTTTCAGTATTTTCAAGACTTCCAAAGCATTTTTACATTTCATCAAAGCATTTTGGCAATTCCCTTCATAAAGTGAGAGATTAAAGAATTTTTAGCATACTTCCTTTGTTGAAATATGTGGTTAGATATGAAAGTTCTTTTGACTTTGCCTCAGAATCATGTTTCTGAGATAGAGGTCATTTTGTTGCTTTTGTTTGTTTGTTTGTTTGTTTTTATGTCTTTTTGGTTTGTCCTTGCCAGGAAACAATGTTTTTGTTTAGCGAGTGTCTAGATCTGCTTTGAACTAATAGAGGCATTTCAAGAGGTCTACAGATTGGTGAGTGCCTTATCTTACCAATCTTTACCATGCCTGAACTGCTGGAGGATGATTATCATCTAGGTGAAATTGAGTGGAGAAGTTGAGCAGAAAAAGCGTATCAATCAAAATCACTAGATGGTCTCCTCCACAGAGTGGTCAGTCACCTGCTGGATCAATATGGTGCCTCTGATGGGGAATATGAAACTGATAAGAACAATTATAACCTGTTGATCAATTCTGTCCATTTAGATCAGTTGTTCTCAGTGGCAAAGGGAGTAATTTTGTCCCCCAGGGGACATTTGGTAGTGTCTGGAGACATATTTGGTTGTATGATTGGGAAGGGTACACTATTGGTATCTAGTAGGTAGTGCCCAGCAATGCTGGTAAACATCCTACAGCACACAGGACAGATCCCAATGAAGAATTATCCTCTCCAAAGTGTCAGTAGTGCTGAGGTTGAGAACCCTGTCTTAAAGAAATGCTTACATTATCTATTTAAAATGATTTGGAGTCCACTGTGTGAAAACATTGCATTTTTCCTTAAAGTTTACCGAGAATATACTAAAGACCTGGAAATATACTAAGTGATTAACAAAAATCAATTAATTTAATCCTCACATTAATACTGGGAGGAGACCCAGCTTGAATAGTTATATCATTTGCCATGTATTGTACATTTCGTAGTCAGTCTGGTTGAATTAAGGGTTTGTGATCTTAGTGAACTGTTCAAAATTCAAAGTATGGTAGATGTACTTCTTGTGGCACATAGCTGCTTTGAAAATAGGGTGAAGGCTATTGAACCTCTGTCCAGCAGATGAACACTTGTTCAGATACATAAAACGTTGTACACCATCTCAGGAAGTTTCATGACATGCTCACCCTCTCAACATGCATCTATGGATCACTGGGTAAGAACTGGTCTAGTGGGAGTGCAAGACAAGCAAACACATCATTTCAAATAGTTAAGTGTTTTGAATCCCAGCATTATGCCTGACATAGAGTAGACATTCAATAAATACTGGGTGAATCAGAAAATGTCCAGGGTGAGAAGTGTAGAGAGAAGAATGAACTTAACTACTATTCCCTAAGGAACGAAGAGCAACTTAGATAGTCTTTGCTTTGTAGGAACTAATACAAATAGACACCATTCATAATTTTAACTGGGCATACTCCAAGAGTTCAACTGTGAGGAAAATCTCTGTAAGGATGAACTGTCTCTTATGACATTATACTTTATCTTATTTCCTAGTGATTTTAATGTTGTTTTATTCTTATATTAAACTATACACTCCTGTACCCAGGGACTCTCCTGTTCATCCTCATTTTTTTATATTGTGCTACATTTTAGAATAGTTTCTTGCACACAGTAGGCACTAATCAATATTTGTTGAATTATTTAAGAACTAGTAAAACATTAAATGATGTAGCTTGCATACCCTTTTTAAAAAAGTACTAGAACTTTATTTAAAAATGCCATGGAAAAAAACATAGATTCAATAAGAGAAGGGGAGAGAAATAAAAGAGAAAGAAGAGATACAAGAGAGGGAGGGGAGAAGGGAAGGAGGAAAAGAGGGAAGCAGAAGGAGAAGGAAAGAGAGAGGGAGAAGTAGGGATGGATGATGCGAGAATAGAAGTGAGAAAAGAGATGAGAGTTTGAACCCCAGCTCTGTGGAAGCTTGGACAAGTTACTTAGTATTTTTGTTTTTCAGTTTCCTTGTTTTATGATGCAGGTGATAATATTAGTACTTCACAAGACTGTGGAATGTTTTAAATACATTAATTAATACTTGTTAAGTGCTCAGAACAGTGCCTGACCTATAGGAAGTACTTGTTATTATTACTATGATCCAGTTCTTAACCTGTTGTACTCATTCCTGACCTATAGAAAGTACTTGTCATTATTACTATGATCTAGTTATTATCCTGTTGTACTCATTTAAATGCTGTAGGTACAAGCAAAGTCCAAGACCCGCAGTCCACACACAAAGAGCTTATGATATAGCTTTCCAGGAACTGGAACAAAACTAATCCTTTCTCCCTAGTCCTTCTCTTAATTATTCTAAGCAAGGGATATGATTTTAATTATAATGAATA